GTCACGGTACACGAAGAAACATGGAAGTTAAAATCGCTAATTTGATTAAATATGTGAAGATAGTCAGAGAGCAGAGACATGCTTGGCTTCTTTACTGAGATTACAGATAGTTTCAGTTTCACTTACGTAGGTCCAAATAGATGCCTCTAAATGACCCTTTCTTCATTAAAATTATCGAAAATGCCACTGTTCATTGTTGCACGAGACAAATAAGTACAAAATAAGCCTTATTTATTTCATTACGATTTTTTGTTACAAGGAAAGAATCCAGAAGAATCAAGAAATGTGTCAGACAAAACATTTATTAAAACTAAACCTAAAGCTAACGTTGCATTTATAAAGTCGAATACTTATAGGTGGACCAACCATGTTGCCTATCTTAATTTGTTGGTGATCTTAGTTACAAGACAGTACAAAACAATAATGTTCAATAACTCCTTATACTGTTATACACATTAACCATTTGTTCGAAAACTACTTGGCGTTTAATTTTATAGATCGAAAATCCATATGAAACTGTATTTTATATGCTATGAAAATTAGTGACAAAAACTAACTGTTAATTCCGTTTTTTCATCGAATACAAATATTTGGATTGTGTATTAACTAAATTAAAAGAGTATGCAATGGGGGAAATTGATGAAGAAGTGATGTGTGTGACTTTTTTACAAGTTTTAATTTTCTGACTTGAATTTATAGTTTGAGTGTTAATTTTCGGTGTGTTTTTGTATCGCCAGCCAATTATATATGGTATGTGAATTATACAAAATAGGCTTTGATTATGATCCACCACCATATGGTCGCTCCTATATTAGCTCTGTCAATTTGTTAATCAAGAAATATAATATACGTGGATCGGATGCTTAATTATAAACCTGTTTTGTTACTTTTACGTACACAACACAACTCATACATAGAATAAGTCGAGAATCGATGGGCCTATTATACCTATTTATAATGTATAGATGAATCTGTAAGGTGCACGAGACTTTTATTGGATATGTAATAATAACAAAAATGTATGCTCTTGACTTCACAGCTCGACTCTTTTTGATCTCGTGCCAATCTCTTTCTTTGTTCTTGTTGATAAAGCGAAACAATTATTTTGTGGACCGAACAATTTCTCTGATACGCAAAACCTATATATCATAAGTTACCTGTCTTCTATGATTTTTAATAAAATTCACCCGACACATAAACACACACATACACCACATTTATGTATATTATAAATATGGTAATACACGTAGTCACTAGGTGAGATTATGTTTTTTTTTTGTTTTAAACTTAAGTGAGATTATGATGATCGAAACGATCTTTTTTGCACCATGCCGTATATAATCATGATATGAGAAACAAACAACACAAATATTAATAATCATATTTTCTCTATACTTAGACGCATAAACATAGCTTAATTACACATGTTAACCCACGAGTTGATACGATTCTACATTCATCTTATATTTAATCTCCTTTACACATTGGGAAGAAAATACTAGAATATATATTCTTCTTTTTTTAACCGTATGTTTTCATTTGTAACACGTTATTTACTTCATGTGGCTCTTGTTTCTTTGATTTTTGGATTAATTTAATTTTTGTTTTATCTTTTGGCTTTACGAATTTTAAAGGTGAGTTATATACTTCTATATGCCGTCTTCAAGCGCGGAACCGCTCGTGAACCTTTTTATATTGTTGTGGTTTTTTTTTGTTTCTTTTATTGATTCCCCCCGTGAACCCCATGCAAAACGCCCTTGAAATTTACCTTAATGCCCGTCAATTGCATGGTCTAGCTAGTTTGTAATTTTATTTTGCTTTTGTTGAAAGGTAATATAGTTTGTAATCTTTTTAAAAAATAAATGATAATCTATTGTTCTCTTGTTGTTTTTGTTTTCGTCAAGCCTGTGCCATTAATTTAAAATTCAAGGAGTCAAATGTTCCGCAAATGGCGACAAATTGATTTTAATGTGGAAAGAAAAAAACAAACTAATTTTTTGGAAAAGTAAATAAAATTACATGTCTTTATTGAAAAAAAGTGCCGACCTCTCCATATATGGATTATATGGGACTCTATCAATACAAGTAAAAATTGGGACCCTATTCTTCCTAAGAATAAAACTATATTTCATTTGTTTTTCATTTTCAAATATGTGGTAAGTAATTTTCTTTCTAATTTTAAAACAGGTAATTATGATGATTCAATATTCATTGAATATACTAATCTTACCATCTAAACTGATCCCAGGAAAAGCTAGCTTGGCCTGCAATGAAAGCCTTTTATGATCAGCTGTACGTATAAATACTTCACTAGAAACCGAAAGTTCATAATCATTTAATAAATCAACCACATGTATAAATATGACAAGAGAAATGATTTGATTTTGTAGACTATTATAATATTCGACAGTATATGATATAATTAACTAATTGAAATCTGAAGTGATATATGTTACTCCCTCTGTCATGTATTATAAAATATTTTGGTTGAATATGCGAG